GAGATCGGAGCATTCTGAGGAAAAATGCCATGTTTAATGAACTTCCTCCGATGCTCGTGATCTCCCATTTGAACTGACAGATGAAGGCTGCATTTCCAATGCCGTCCACTAGGATAAGAAATACTTCTAGTCTTGAGCTTTCTATTCGTTTACCAATTAAAATTTTCAATTCAATATTTGAGAAAAAAATGGAGTAGTTTCCATCCCTGGATATTATCATCAGTCGTTTAACATTTTAATTGTAAAACAGTTGTCAACTATGAAATGTTTTGCTCTTTCCATCTTACCTCACTCTTTTTAAACATCAAAAATGACGCTCTGCGCTGGAATTGCACGCTGTGCTTCTGTGAGAAGTAAACACTGCCCACTTTGATTTGATTGGCCGTCTCAATCATTTTGACATTGACGAGCTCTTTTAAACCATTTTGTCATCCTATAACAACAAACAGAGCGCTGCGTAGCTAATGGAGTGCAGCAGAGCAGTGCAAGAATTTCAAATACAGGGGGACAATTTGGTCATCACCGGTTGTACATCACAGAGAAGTTTATTTGATGTAGGCATTTTCATCTGCAAGATGTAATATTTAAGTTTTTGCAGTTGCTCAACTGCAATATGTCTCGAAGACGTTTTCTGTCAGATGTTATAGGCACCGATTTACAAAAGCAGGTATGGACCTCTCCCTTTATAGGCCTAATCACATTTATATATTTTTAATCACTAATTTTTAACATCACTCACTACCATATCACTACCATAAAAATGACACAATACAAAATATAAATGCTATTAGAATTTTTGGAGCCTTTTTGTATCCTGTCATTTTATGGAATTGAGCTTTATGGAATAGGTTGTTTGCAATCACGTGATTCTGATGACGCGCGAAATGCAGCGGGTGGGCAGGAAGTGATTTTTCTCCATAGAGATCACTAGTAGAAACTCAAAATGCCTGTGTTTTGCGTTGTTTATGGATGCTCAAATCGGCCAAACCGAGAAACCACAATGAGCTTTTATTGTGTACGGAAATGTGTTGTTCATAAGTGGGGAAAAGTCAAGAAATTGATTGAAAAACGCAGGAAAAAGTGGCTTGTAAACCTGCGTCTGCGGTTAGGAGGAGCGAAGCCGGATAATGTGTGTGCAAATGGTTAATATAAGATATAATAATATATTAAGATATTAATAAAGAAATATATAAATAGATACAGGGTGACACTGTCAGAATTCACTGAATGCTAAACGCCACACATAGACACGATGTAAATAAGATATTGTTTGCAGTTCTGAGAGCTTCATATCACGGAATCGTGAGATTGCGATAAATTGAAGTGAGTGACAGCTTTTTAGTGATTAGCGTTATATGAAAGCGCTATTTGCTCGCTTTCCAGGCTATAATCGATTCAGAATTTAAATAAAAGTTGTTTTACGTGTTGCTAACAGGAACAGCCACATACCCTGTACTGCAAAGTTTCAGGAGTTACAGGAGATACTGTAGCCTATATTCCACATCCCTCATATAAATATGGGATTCACTTTCGAAATAGCTTGTTTACAGTCAGGGTTAGTTGCTTAGCCTATATCCACCGCCTCAATGGCAGGCAATTATTTCAATTTAGCTTAAAAATCGCTCCTCTTCATAACATAAGGATCACATCCAACATATGTTGTGATTATAAATACCTTTCTCTTGTAATAGCGTGGTGGTTGAAGAGAGATCCCCTCATATGATTGTAAAGCACGTTGGGTGTACACAGTAATACAATGAAAGCGCTATATATATAAAATGCCTCATACCTAAAACAGTACAGTACGGACTTTCCCCCATCTCATCCGTTCTTTTTTTTAATTCACTCCTGAAACTTTGCTGCATATGTACAGGGTATGTGGCTGGTGTGTTTGACTGGCCAGCAAACTCACCAGACCTGAACCCCATAGAGAATCTATGGGGTATTGTCAAGAGGAAAATGAGATGAACTTTTCCACGACATTCTAATTTATTGAGATGCACCTGTAAATTCTGAATTGATTATAGCCTAGAAAGCGAGCAAATAGCGCTTCCACATAATCACTAAAAAGCTGTCACTCACTTCAATTTATCGCAATCTCACGTTGTTCCTTTATAATTGATGGAGCTCTCTGAAATGCAAATATTATCTTATTTACATTGTGCCCACGTGTGGCGTTTAGCACTGAGTGCATTCTGACTGTCTCACGCTGAATGCGTGAGAGGTGGCAGCCCAATCTGTTTATATCTTTATTAATATCTTAATATATTATTATATCTTATATTAAGAGCTCCTCCTGACCGCAGACGCAGGTTTACAAGCCACTTTTTCCTGCATTTTTCAATCAATTTCTTGACTTTCCCCCACTTATGAACAACATATTTTCGTACACAATAAAAAGCTCCTTGTGGTTTCTCGGTTTGGCCAATCTGAGCATCCATAAACAACGCAAAACACAGGCATTTTGAGTTTCTGCTAGTGATTCCTACGGAGAAAAATCACTTCCTGCCCACCCGCTGCATTTCGCGCGTCATCAGTGACATCACGTGCGAACAACCTATTGTGAAACTGAGTGTAAAAATTCTGGGCCCATTCTGGGTTTGGAATGATGTAAGGGTAAGTAAATGGTGAAGAACTGATCAGACGTGATCTCTGTTTGCATCACTCTCAAGCTGCTTTGAAACAATCTGTACAGTATAAGGCACAATAATGATAAAAGGTGACTTGACTTGAATTATCCCTTTAAACTGGCTGCTTCCTGTGTTCTATTTTAAAATGTAATTTATTTCTGATGCAAATCTGAATTTTTAGCAGCTGTTTGCTGATTTGCTGCTCATTTCTCATCATCAATGTTTTAAACAGCTGTGCTGCTTATTTTTGTGGATATGTAAAAGGTTCATGTGACACTGAAGACTAGAGAAATAATGCTGTAAATTCAGCTTTTCGTCACAGGAATAAATTACATTTTATAATATAGTCAAGCAGAATACAATTATTGTACTAATATGTCCCAATCGCACTGTTTTTACTGTTTTATCATCAAATAAATGCAGCCCTGTTCAGTACAACTGATTTCTTTCAAAAACATGAAGAAAAAAATCTTTAATTATTCTTAATTCTTATTCTTCACATACATACAGACACACATTTTTGAATTTGTCACTTTTTTATTTAAAGTATTTTATTAATACATATATATATATATTTTTTTTTTTACAGAATAGGAAAGAGGAAGAGCATGTGGACTATACACCTGTTGCCTTGAGAAGTGAGGAAACCCATATAAAACCCTCTGAGTCTGTGGTTGAGTTTTGAGATTTGTCAGCATATAAAAATGATTTCTGAAGGATAATGTGACACTGAAGACTTGAGTAATGATTTTTATTGTTGGTAATTTTTAATAGTTGTCATTTTTAATTACAGTTTTTTTTAAGTAATCAAAGTTGAACTCAATGAAAATGTCAAATGTTGCTTTGGCAAATAATTTTTTTTGAAAGTTTCTTTTTATTTCAGTTAACATTTGTTTTATTTTAAATAATGAAATGGTTTTAGTTTCAGTTTTAGTTTACTATAATAACCCAAGTGCTTTCAAAAGACTGAAATGGGAGAGCAGCATATTCATGTGAACAGGGTATCAGCAGAATTTTTAAATAAAATGTAAGCTTTTTAATCAGAATCAGAATCAGAATGAGCTTTATTGCCATGTATGTTTACACATACGAGGAATTTGTTTCCGTGACAGAAGCTTCCACAGTGTATTGTCCGGGAGAGCAGAAGGAGCTCGTCCGTTTTGTTGGGTGTCAGAACACGGGAAACTGACGGCGAGTCTCCATCTCAAAGTGATGATAACTGTTTTACAGTGTACATGTTACATCCTGACCCTAAAGCATGGTCATACCACCCTGCTGATATAAAAAAGTTTTAACCCCACTGTTACTTTAGAAAGGAATTTTACATAGTATATTTCACAATACATCAGTGTTCGTCTTACGGTCCCTCCTGCAGCAACAGGACTTTACACAAACCGCCACTGCGACCAGCACACCAACAGCAGCACATATTCCTGCTATAACTCCTAAAAGCAGACTTGAATCTGTAGTGATAAAGACAGACAGTCATTATTACAAGAGGCCAACTGATAATCAATGATATCATCATCTTTTTCTAATGATTACATATTTCTACTTTGGTCATCAGTTGCATGATATTGATATTGAACTGATAAATGGTGCCTTCTGGTGGGTGTTTGAGGAACAACAGCTAAAACAACATCACAGCACTAGCTCAACATGAAACAGAGGCATTTCGAGAACAACTGGCTATTACACAAAAGTGAAAGGAAAACATGAAACAAAATTACACTCACCATAGACAGTAATGCTGAATCTCTTTATGCTGAAGATGCTGATGCTGTGACGAAGGCGGATGCTGTAGATGATCTTTAACTGATAGAGTCCAGAGTCTGTAATTCTGATGTTTGTGATGGTCAGAGATCCAGTCTGATGATCCAGCGTCAGTCTGTCTCTGAATCTCTCTTTACACTGTTCATCTGTACAGATCTTACTCTGATCTCCAGTGATTTCAGTGATGAGAATGTCATTAAAATACCACGTCATCATATCATTCTGTATTTTAATTACACGAGAGTCTAAAGTGACAGCTTCTCCCTCCTTCACTGACTTTCTCTTAATTTCATCTTGTTCAGCAGCAGGAACATCTGAAACAAACCAACAGCTGATTGTAGCTCAATTTTGGTTAAAAAAAATAAATACTACTGAAAAGCAATATTTGTCTACTTTTTTATTCTGAATGTGTATATTAGTCCACAGATTCCAGTTTTTTGGCAAATGTTTTTAAGAAATTATATGCCTGCATGTGAAATAAAATAGGAGAATAAATAGAATGAATCTAAAGATAATAGTTTTGAATGTAACTACTATAATAAACACATTAATAATGTTGTGATCCATGCATATTTGGCCTGCTGTTAAATGACTCACCATGAACAACAACATGGAAGATCTTTTGAATGATTTTTCTCCTGATGGTCTGTAGTTTATAATCTCCAGAGTCTGTGGTTGTGATGTTTGTGATAGTGAGATCCCCCGTATGATGATCCAGCTTCAGTCTGTCTCTGAATCTCTCAGTGCCTTCATTACACTGAACGTCTGTACAGGTCCTATTCTGATTTGCAATTATTTGAGCTATACGAATGTCATTAAAATACCATTTCATTGGGTCTTGTTGGTTCATTTCAACATCAGTGTGTAGAGTGACTAAATCGCCCTCCATCACTGACACTGAGACTCCATCTGTCTCAACACCAGATGCACCTGAAGAAGAAATTAACAGTAAAAGTAAAAATACAACAGGAAAATTAAAAATTATTTGCAGTGTTCCTTTTTTCCCTCTTCACTCCGTCTCAATGGACCTTCACTCTGTGCAACTCCTACTGCTCGAGCAGGAGGATCATTCCCTTGAAGATCACACAAGGGATTTTTTTAGATCTTGTGCCGATCCTCTCAATACGCAAAGAATGCATGTTGCGTAGGGCCCCCGAAACACCAGGCGGCCCCCTTGCTCTCAAAGATGATTTAATTTTACTTTCGTTTTAGATTTTGGCCACTGGCCAGCGGTTCTGAAAACATGAATGTTCCTTTAACGCGGTGGACTGTCGCCCTTTCTGCGTAACATACAAATCAGTCAAATCATGTAACGTCGTATACATTCTCCATGCCGTTTTTGCTCGATACTAAAAATGACTTAAAAGCACACCGAGCTGCTGTTTCCCAAGCGCTTTCCGTGTGCGTGATTCGAGATGGAGTGAAACACGGACAAATACAGGCAAAATTTGTGCTTTGTATATTTCAAAATGTCAAATTTTTCACTAAACAGTCAGTTATGCTGTCTGTCATCATCTGTTAATCAAACCACAAAATAAAAGGAGATAATTATTCACTGCTCTTCACTGAAGATTGTTCATATCTTATGAATCAATTTATGTTAAATTTATATGGTGAAGTCTATGCAGTGCTTTATTTGTACTTTTGATTACTTTAATCAATTTCTGTAGGATATTATAGGCTAAATTGTTTATTTTATTTGTATATTTTTTGTTGTTGTATTTGCCCTATTGTTTGTCATTTTCTTTCTTATTACTGACTTTTTTAAACTCACTGTTGTTTGTTGACAGTGAAACTGCTCTGAAAGAATAGGTTAATGGGTTGGGGAGGATTTTGGGGCCCCAACAAAGTTTTGCTTAGGGCCCCCAGAAGTCTAGGATCGGCACTGTGCATAGCTTACACATTTGCTAAGGCAGTGTTTCCCAACTTTTTTTCAGTAAAAAATCACACGGCACACCACTTAGCATAAAAAAAATAAAAAAATTTAAACGGTTAAAAATGGGGGAAGGTATTTTTTTTTCCCAATAATTAAACAATGCATCGTCAGAGTTGGTATTTTGGCTTTATACATGATCACACACTTGTACTTAACATTTTCTGAAAATCATACTCAAATGGCATTATCAAGGTTTTTGACAAGCAAATGACAGAGAGTTTTGGGTTTTGTCTGTCATTAGAATGGCCGCATATGAGGCAGCAAATTAATCGCAAATTAATTATGTTTTCATCAATTTATAGGTTATATTGTTTATTGTAGCTACATGTATATAATGTATATGGGCGCTCAGTTTTTCTTGTTGTTTAATATTTTAATACATTTGGCCAAAATCTAATGATAAAAAAATATGATCCGCTATGTAAAACATACAAAAGTATATTGGCTACCATAAACATAAGGTTGGGGATATATTTATTACGTCTATGTTGGCTACAACAAGACGGAAAATGCTAAGACTCTTCTCTGCTCTTCAAACACACAAAAATTAGCCTTTATAGACAGTGGTCTATATCAATTCTTTATTTACCCTTGCATTGCGAAGAAGACGTCTGTCTTCAAACTGCGCATCATGGCACTTCATTCTGAATGGAGGCAGGGTGGAGTTATGAGGTTTGACTGAAAATTTGAGGATCCAATGGCATTACGAGGTTTAGTCACAAGCTCTTTTGAATGCTTTTTATTGGTTAAATATTTGTAAAACCCACAAACAGACAGAACGATGACCAATAGCACTGATTTAAAACAATAATAACAAAATATAATAGAGATAGGAAGTTTTTGATAATTTTCCACGGCACATATGACAACCTGTCAGGGCACACATTACTAGTTGGGAAACACTGTGCTAAGGTACGCAAGATCTCTCTTCCACCTTCAGTAACCACAAATCACCAGCACACAGTCCACACATCCTCAAGGACATTCCCTGGACAGCTTAGCCTAGGATGAGTTGCCAAGTCTGACATAGTAAAAAGTACGCAGACAGCTGACTGGGTGATGCGTAAGGGACGGATTATTGTGTTAGTTTAGTTGGCATCCACATCACCCTGTAGCCCAAGACTGGTCGCCCACTCTAAGCAGGGTTGAGCCTGGTCAGTACCTGGGGGCTGATTCATAAAACAAGTTTACCAAACAAGCCAGGCTTATTTCAGTTAGTCTGACTTATTGTCACTTGATTTGGTTTCCGAAAGCAAATATACCAAAGCTCAAGCTCAGTCACTGTGGCAACTTATGCTGGGAAACTAATTCTAATTGTAAAACTGCTGGGTTTACAATTCTATGTGTCACATTTAAGGTCCAACAACAAATACTTTATCAAAATGTATATATCACTCAGAATTATTGCGCTCCTATCGCACACTGTCTGTTTGGCGCGCAGCAGCGCTCGTTAACTCGCGTAAGCCTCGCCCACTTCTGACAGCAAAATGGATATATTTGCATGACTTTCTAACATTTACAGATGAATAATATAACTGTGACATGTCTGTTATGCACTGGGGAAAACACAAATGTCTCAAATGCATGAAACAGCACATATATATTCGCTGTTTGTCATGGTGGATCGATTTGATCCATGATCGACATTAAGGGCTGCTTAAGAATAAGCGTGCACATCAAATTCTCGACTATTGAACCTGGATCAAATTAGTGAGATTGCGTGAACTTAAATTATCGTTTATGAAACTGCTTTAGTCCCGTTTGATTTGTTAGGTTATTTCAAGTCAGGTTTTGGACTTTAATCCCTGCTTTAACTCATAATGTAATAACTGTGCATAATGTAAATGTTCACTAAATGTTCATTAAAATGTTCACAATGTAATAGTTTTCTCAAAACATAATACAATTGTGAGCTCATAATGTAATAATTATTACATTATGAGAAATGTATTACATTATAAACTCACCTAAATATTGTCAAAATATTTTGGGTTTCAGAATTCTGATGTTGCTAGAACACAACAGAGAAAAAAAAAATCCCTAAAAATATGAATATGAATTATAAATGAGTATAATCAGTTTAATAAGAAGACTTGTTAAATATAATTATAATTAACAGCTACAGTAATAGTATTATAATCAAGAATAAGCCAAAGACAAGTTTCTTTTTGTGTTATGTGAAGCAAGGGCTTATGTATGATTTTGACATTGGTGGGGACATAAATTATAAGCAGCCCAGTATAAGGGACTGTCAAAATATTTGTGCTGTTATTTAGCTCACAGTATGTGTACAGTGTATTATATATAAATATATATAAGTCATTACATTTATATAGCGCTTTACATTGTGAGGGGGGATCTCCTCGTCCACCACCAGTGTGCAGCATCCACCTGGATGATGCGACGGCAGCCATAGTGTGCCAGAACGCCCAACACACACCAGCTTATTGGTGGAGAGGAGACAGAGTGATGAAGCCAATCAGCAGATATGGGGATGGTTAGGAGGCCATGATGATCAGAGGCCAATTGGCAAATTTGGCCAGGATGCCGAGGTCACACCTCTACTCTTTTCGAAAGACATGTCATTAAAAATCCCAGGATGTCGTTCGAAAAGAGTAGAGGTGTGACCCCGGCATCCTGGCCAAATTTGCCCACTGTCCTCTGATCATCATGGCCTCCTAATCATCCCCATATCTGCTGATTGGCTTCATCACTGTCCAGGCATCACACCAGGTGGATGCTGCACACTGGTGGTGGACGAGGAGATCCCCCCTCACAATGTAAAGCGCTTTGAGTGCCTAGAAAAGTGCTATATAAATGTAATGAATTATTATTATTATTAGTTTACTCAAAAAATGATGTATGGCTGTACAAGCAGGGCTCGACAATAAGGACTGCCTGATGGCCCGGGGCGAGCGTGAAAGACGTTCGGGACAGTAGACGGATTTGTCACTTGCCCGATCGGGCCACTGCATCGTCGTCATGACATTTTATCATTTGCATGTGTTTTTAAGACTTGTTCATTTAAAAATGTAAGCAATAAAAAAGCACTTGGGCGCGAATGACAATTCATTACTCGCGCGCTGTGTTCTGTGTGAACAGCGCGCGCACAGACAGCCGCATCTCTGACACGCCTGAATGGGCAAATACATACAAAAGTGTGCCAAAATACCCATCCTGGCAAGTAACTTTGCAGCTTTAACAATGATTAACCTATATTGAATTTATGCACTGGAGTACAGATGCACCGATCTACCGGACATTTTTTGTTTTATTTCAGACTATCTTTTGTTCCATGCTTGCACACAAACTGCACTGCAGTCATTTTCCCAAATGCCATTTGTGTGGAAATATTACATTATATTTAGTCTGTAAACGGCCATTTACAGAGGCCAGAGATCCTGAAGACAGACACAAAGAGGAGAAAATACTGTAGCAGGCAGAACAAGATAACTGTTCACCATGCGCGAAATATAGGAAGAAAATCCAAACATTGAATTTTATGAATGTGTTTCTGAGGGGAAGAGAACTGACTGTTTTCAGAAATGTTTTCTTTTCATTTTGTCTCAGTATGATGCATTTAAATTAGTGTTAATATGCGCAGCACTGCTGTGTTTACAGCGATAGCTAACCAAGGAAACGCTCTATTACTGTACCATAAGCGCCGCTGCGTCTCATTCAGGCCACCTGCTGTTTCTGTTTCATACAGATGTTTTATGTAGCATAATTGCACTTTTTTTTCAATTCATGATTAAAATGCAGTGGTTGCCTCTAATTTCAAATGGCTATGAAAAATCAAGGTGCAACACAGAGTGAAGAATATGCAAATGTTATTTTATATGT